TGTTCTCCTACTCTATCCAGGATCTCTTGCACTGATTCCTTTCCAAGTGGTTGACAGTAGTAGCCAGGCACCATCTAGTTCTTCTGCTCTTATTGTCATATAGGCTGACAATACTAGTTAAATACTAGTCCACTAGTCCCTTGGACTAATTCTTTCCATGTGTCTTTGGTTTTCTTCATTTTTCTTTGCTCTGGATGAGGAGAGACTAGGTTTTGCATCTAGATGGCCATTTGCAAGCTTTTAAGACCCCAGTCACTACTCACCAAAATAGGATGTGAAACAATGTTTTTGTGTAGTATGTTATACCCATTGAGCTTGATATCCACCACAACCATGGTTCCAAACCCACAGATCCAACAACTTGCTCCATCAGGGTGGTTGACTGTAGCTAAGAAGTTATCAAAACTTTCCCTCTGTAAGTTCTATTTATATGGACATTTAAGAGCCAACTTTTATTTATTTTTATTTTTGCGGAGTTTATTTTACATCCAACATTCCATGTACATTTGGTTTCACTTCCCATTTACCATTCCCAACCCTAACCAACTCTCCTGCCCTCCCTTTCCAGTAACTGCCCCCCCCCCCACTCCTCATAGTTATGCACTCCTGTGTGTGCTGCATTTCCTGTAAAGGAATGTTGCCCCTCTGCTGCCCTGTGGTCAATTGCTCCAAGGGATGCCTCTTCATAGAGTATGTGGGTGTGTCACCCTGGGTTGAGCGGTCTGTCTGTACGTCTTATTTACTATTGGGCTAAAAGCCAGCCTCTGGGAGTGAGTTTTATTCCAGGCCAAAAGTTTATCCCAGGGCCATAGTATTGGGGGTCCCACCAGAGTCCATCCAACCAGTAATTCTGGTCATTATTATGTTTTTTGGATTTTGTTCCATAGTTTTCCTCCCACTCTCTCCAGGATCTCCAGTTTGATCCTTTCCCGAGTGGTTGGCATTGGTAGCTGGGCACCATCTAGTTCTTCTGGTCTCGAGGTCCATCATGTCTTAGAGCTCATGGCTTCCAAATGCCCTTGGTTTTTTGCATTCTTCTTTGCTTCCAACAATAGGAGACCATTAGCTGCATCTTAGATGGTTGCTTGAAAGCTTTTAAGACCCCAGTCACTACTCACCAACGTAGGTTGTGAACAAGATTTTTATATATTTTGCTGTGACAGTTGAGTCTGGTGTCCCCCAGTACTATGGTCCTGAGTCGGTAGATCTGTTGGATTTCTCTCCCACAGTGTCTGGCTGTCTGTGAGGGATTGTTCTGTGTCTGTCTTCTGTTGTTTTGTAAGGATTGCACGTATTTTGTTTCACTGGTATCTGCAACATTAGCCTCAGTTGAATCTCTCCTGGGTCTAGAGGATATTCCTGTTCACTGACCCCCATCTGATCCTCTCAGATATTTACGTGCTTATCTGTAGCCTAGTGTTTGGTGTTAATGGTAATGCAGTATTGTGGATATACTGGTATTAGCTTTTGTCGTCTATATCTTATGTGCAAAATTCGGTGTCCTCCCTTTCCCTAATGTTATTGTGATGGTCACAGACTCTTTCCATCCCTCCCCTTACCCACCTAAGTGTGTGTCCCCCAACTAGCCTGAAATTATTCCCTCCTCTTTTCTCCCCACCCCGGTAACCTTCAAAGTGAGTTCCCTTCCTTAGGCAAACCCTTCTTTGTCTTTTTACAGTAATGGGCTCATACAATATTTGTCCTTCTGCAATTGACTTATTTCACTCAGCATAATGTCCTCCAGGCTCATCCATGTTGTGAGATGATTCATATATCCTTCATTGTTCTTTAATGTAGCATAGTATTTCATTATGTGAATGTACCATAATTTGGTTATACACTCATCCGTTGATGTGCATTTAGGTTGTTTCTGTCTCTTTGCTATAGTGAATTGTGCCGTGATGAACATAGATGTGCATATGTCTGTTCGTGTCCTGCCTCTCATCTCTTTAGGATATATTCCTAGT